AATACCATCCAGTTATTTTGACCTCTGTCTTTTAGGCCCAACCTGAAGATCCCATGGCAAGAATTGTGGGAAACCCAGACCAACAATACACTTCGTGAGCTGAAAGTTGTTCTTAGATTCTAGGCAAAAGAGTAACTTAAGTGCTCAGTCGTACTGATTGTGGCCTTGCTGTTGGAAACCCACAATCTCAGAGTCTCTAGAGATTCTTAATGCCTTGCTAGGCTGAAGCCAGCAAAGTGGTAGGAAGGGTAAAGGTTTTTGTCTTTCTGTCCTCTGATATCCTTTATTCTAGTTAGTTGGGCTTTTTAGGCCTATTTAGCAATGTTTCAGACAGGGAGGAAGGAAAGGAAGCTGGAGAAGGCTCAGGATACATTATATCTTGGCCTTTCTAGTCTCCTCCCCACAAACTCCTTTCCCTGAACAGAAGTCACTATTCCAACCAGCCTATAGGATTCTTTCTGGGCCATCTGTGAGGGGGCTAGAGAGGAAGGGCTGATCTCCAAATCCCATTTGGAGCTTGAGGAATGTCAGAACACTGACCTTAGAAGGGATTATATGAACCATCCTATGGTTGCTGAGGTGTTTACCCTGAAATCTTTGGATCACTCTCTCCAGAACTAAGGGAAGTTGACCCTGATTCTGTTAAGGATCAGGCAACAAGTTGCCTGTGCATCAGTATTTATGGAAGACCTACCCAACTGCATGCTCTGTGTTGTTCCTCTTACTGGTAAACATGTTTTGCTGGAGTGTCTATTTCCTAGCCGAAATTTACACTAAGGGTAATTTTCCTCAGTCTGTGAACATCAGTCTCACATAAGCAGCCCTCAGGAAAAGGCTTCTTGGTATGCAAACCTGTTGTGCTAACTTAAGAGCAAGCTCTGTGGAATTCAGTGGGACTTCTGAGTAAACATATTGTTTTAGGTTATGAACTTCTGTAAAAACCAAAGTAAATGTGATGATATAAGTTCTGTATGTGTAAACATAGAAAGCTTAATAATACAGGATGCTTCCAGGTGAGGCTTTTACTATGCACTTGCCTAGCCTTATTCATGGAATTGTACAGGGGTCCATACATCTTCAGGTTTGGATGCTCCCAATTTTTCCTGCCACTCCTTTACTTTTTTTCTGCCAGTAAAAATGTATTACAGCAGGAAAGGTGGAATTTCTAGTATGGTCAGGGTTTATAAAGTTTAACTTTGCCTAAAACCTAGTCTCTGCAACCCCTCTCCCCACTTTTCCCTCAGCTCAAATTCTAGCACTAGAGTGACTTCGGCAAAGATAAAAGCATTTAAGGAAAAAAATTGGCAGCACATTTGCTGCTAAAATGTTAAAGTTTGATATGCATTATCCCAGCTTTCTGTGTTATTGAAGCAATTCTGTATTTAAGCATGCACAACTGCTGCCTTTCTGTATGGCTTGTTCAGACTTCTAGATGGAAGGGAGTGGGTATAGATTTCCGTGCTTGTTCTAGTTGGCCTATTTCCTTTGCACACAGAACTGCCTACTGCCATCTGCCCTTTGGAAATAGTACCATAAGGAAGAGGTACTGGTAAATGGCTGATGGCTACCTCAGAGACTGCTCTGCCAGGAGTGCCCTTTCCTCAACAGGCTGTGTATCATTATCTGCTGTGGTAAGGACCCTCATCCCTTGCTGCTGTTCTTTCACATATTAATAAAATCACAACAAGCAAATTAATTCTCACTAGTATGCTACTTTGGAAGAATTTCTATCCTTAGAGGAAGGATATAAATAATTATAAGTAAAGGTAAAGGTAAGTCCAGTCATGCCTGACTCTAGGGGGAGGTGCTCATCTGTGTTTCCTAGCAGAGGGAGCCAGCGTTTGTCCGCAAACAGTCTCCATGGTCATGTGGCCAGCATGACTAAACACTGACGTGCACGGAACACCGTTACCTGCCCACCAAAGTGGTACCTTTTTATCTACTTGCATTTGCATGCTTTTGAACTGCAAGGTTGGCAGGAGCTGGGACGGAGCAACGGGAACTCACCCACTCACCCCATTTTGCAGATTCGAACCAGCGACCTTTCAATCAACCAGCTCAGCAGCACAGAGGTTTAAACCACTGCACCACCAATAAATAAAACCATTTTTCTTTTGTAATTTGATAACCTCTAATGGAATGTGCCTGAGAAACCTGTGCATATGTACAAAACATGTAGCTGAAGCAAGTTGCTGTCTGACAGAAATAGGTTCTCCAAGTATCTGTTATTTCCTTCTTAACCAAACTTCCCTATGGAGAGCAATATACCTTTGGGCAAGAATGCTGGTTGCTCAACTCCCCTGACCCAGATGCAAAGCAGAACAGGATTCATGCAGTGTTGTCCGTTTATATAAAAAGGAATTGGAGCAGCTACTGCTTGTCATGCAAGAGGCCCACACATACTGAAGGGGTAAGAGCCTTGTCTTCCTTTGCATCCAGTCACCCTAGTTCCTCTTCTGTGGCAGGGAGACCAGCTTAATTTTCCTAAACAAGCACTCCCATTGTTAGGGGCATTACTAATATTCAGGACATATCTATAAACTACAATAGAGATTTATGTTCCTTTATTCCATTTCAACTGTAATTGAACACCAGGAGAAGGCACTGAGAATACATCACCCCTCAGCTGCTGCCCCCACCATCAACTCAGGAGTACATGTCCCAGGATTCTCTGGGCAGGGAAGGTCTGACTTAAGTCAAATAAAGTCTGAGGCTGCAATTTTATACATGGACTAAATTGCAGTGAATTCAGTGGGACTTCATTTTGAGTAGACATGCATAGGATGGTACTATTAATGACCATGCTCAGATTCAGGACATCAAGTTTTCTTTCCCAGCCAGTATATCTATTATGTGAATTTAGCAATGAGGTTGATGCCATTGTTCACCACTGCCAAGGCATTTACATAGTTCTATTCTCATTACTCAGTAATTCAGTCAGTCTGGAACTTACTCTGACCATTTTACTTACTCTGGAGTAAAATGTTGCCTATATGTCATGTGGAGTTGAGTCTTTCTCTGATTGTTGCAGTTGTTGTTGCTTTACATGAAAGCAACAACATTGAAAAATGAGCACGTAGAAGTTTCCCTATACCATCTGGTGTGTTTTCAGTTTAAAATAACTCTCTTGAAGCTGCTTTTTTTGCCTCTGGGGCAGCTTTCCCCAACCCATAGTCCAACATAACTGGAGGGCATCAACTCCCATCATCCCTTAGCCATTCATGATGTCTGCACCAGAGGAAAACCGTGGAGATCCTGGGACTTCTCCATATGAGGCCAGTGGTGTTCTGTTATAGAACAAAACTGCAAAATTACATTAGAGCTCTGTCTCAAATAGTGATACCATCTAGGAAAATATCAGACTGTCACTCTAAAAACACATTAAAATAGCTGGAAATCCTGGGAAAGGCTCTGCAGAATTATGACTTTGTAAAAAGGTCCTGCAAACTTATGTGACTGAGGCATCAATAGTGTACCATAAATGCAGAAAAATGTACATTTACCTGTGGGATGAAAAAATAGCTTGGGAAGGGAAATTGTGAAAAATGAGAAAGAAAAGATTAAAGCAACACTCTCCAAGTGCCCTTCCTCTGTTTAGATTCCCAGTCTGTCTAGGCTGCTTTGGATTAGAAGAAACTAACATAGTGGGAAGTATAATAAAACTCTGGCATGCATAGTTTGAGCCTTGGTTTGACTTTACTTTGTATAATGGAGAGATTAAAAATAAACTTCCAAGGGACCAATTCTGCAGAGTAAAGAGAGAGATTCTATTTCTTGGTGCCATCATTTTATTTTACACTCCCAGGCAAAGCCATTAGGCTCTTGGAATTGTTGTAATCCAGATATGAGTTTAAAGCAGGGGTCCTCAAACATTTTCAACCGGGGGCCAGTTGAAAGGTGCCGGCGATGGGTGCAAGCTGCCAAGGTGGTGTGGGGAGGGGGTGCAGGGGTGGGCATGTGCAGAGATTTTCTCCAAGCGAGTCCAAAACAATCTTGCAAGCAAGTCAGCGCCTTGCCATGCGCACGCATGGCAAGTCCAAAACTTCAGTGGTGGGTCAGGTAAATGGGCAGGGCGGGCTGGATCTGGCGCACAGACTGTAATTTGAGAACCCATGTTTTAAAGACTGGATTGTGTTGCTGGTCATTTTAAGTGGTCACACCAGCATGCATTGGAGTGCCAACTAGATGCCTTTGAAAAATAGGCTTTTTTCAAGTGTAACACAAGTGAATATTCTAATTAGAGTAAGGCAACCTGGGCTCATTAATTTCAGTAGTCTTAATTATCCTTGTAAAGGAGCAGACCATTACAGAAACAGAACACAACTATCCTAGGTTTTGCGGTCTTTTCATGGACTGCTGCTGATGAATGTGGTATTGTCTCACATTGAGTTATGGGCTTGCACAGTCTCTAAAACCGAGATTGCCCAGTATAATCTTCTGTGAAAGGCTGTGTTTCCCCAGGGTAAGGGCAGCACAGGGATCTTCTATACACAAGTTGTATGTTCTGTAGAGGAGCAGAATCCAGATTTATGATTTCAAAGTCTTCCCTGATGCTCAACCAAGTCTCTCCTATCCTTTTTTTTTTTTTTTTTTTTTGTAGTAAGCTCATGCATTCTAGAACGGTCTGTCTTGGAGGGGCCACCTGTGCTTTCTAAGCCCCAAGCCCTTTCAAGCTAAGAAAAATGAAATGTTGACTTTAAGTGTTTTCAGAAGAGGAGAGGAAGATTGTAAAATGTATTTTACAATGCAAGATCACTGATTTTCCTGTATGAAAAGCAACGTGATTTTGTCCCCTGCATCTGCCTTACCTTATACATTCTTTTAATAATGGCTTGACATGCATTGATAAATAGTGATAGGCAAAGCTTCCATAGTTGGGAAATAATTCTGTGTTAAGTTACTGTTAATAGTGCAGGTGCAGACCAGTAAAAGGTATCAACTCTATTAGAGACTCAAGTTAAATTTGCTGTTAGAAGGTAATTCAGAGGAATTTTACTTACTTTTGTTCACCTATATTTCTTCTTTGATAGGCAATATTTGGCATGAAAACAGTGTCAAAATGAAAAAAAATCAGTCTTCATGATATAATGACAAAGTATATTTCTAACATTTTCTTTCATGGGAAATCAAAGCACTTTAAAATATTGACACATTATCCTTATGTTTTTCTGTGAGGTAACCATTCTCATTTTGTGGAGTAGAAGCTGAAGCAAAATTTCCAAGTGAGTTCATGCATTGACACAGTTGAAAAGTCAGTAAGTTCCCAAAAGGCTTAACATCCAGTTCACCGCTCTCTTGTATTTTTTTTCTTTACAACCATCACAGAAAAGATGCAGCTTTTCTCTTCTACTATATTTCTATTTCTGATGATGCACAGGAAGATAATCTTTCCACGAGGTCAGTTATTTTCTTTGGTAAGTATTATGTCTCTTTTTGGAGGGAGAAACCATTGCTTGTTAGCCTTCAGAAAGTTCTGGCTTCCAGAAAACCAAATGCAGCAAGTCCAGTATGGTCAGGGAGATGCAACTGAGGATAAAAAATTGCATTACAGGAGACAGGAGGCTCTACTTCCTGCGAAACACATGTTGTTTGGCATTCTTAACACGCTGTTCCTCCTTCAAATTCATTTGTCGTACATGCTTGCTGGAGATGAATTCTACTTGTTCAGAAGGGAACCATCCCCTCTCTCCATCTGAGAGTTTTACTCCTTCAATCCAGCCTGCAGAGGGAACATGCATTAATGGTAAATAGGCAACCATGTATTGATTGGCAAATTACCACAAACTACATGTAATTTAGTAAGTCTTGGTAAGTCAGCCATCCTGGCAATACAACCATTTTATAAGACATTTGCAGCAGATGCGCAGTATAAACTCCTTACCATTTGATCAGAGGATAGCTCAGCCTATTCCCAGGAGGAGATAGATCATATTGGAGTGGTTTGATTGTCAGTATGGTATCATTTTCCCAAGTGATAGTGTGTGAAAGTTTCACTGCTCTCTTGTATTACCTAGATTTTTGGGGTGAGGAGATCTCTTAATTTGCATCCTGAACTGAAACCAAGCATACCTAGAAAATGGTCCCATTGAAATGAGTGGAAATTACTTCCAAAAAAATATAAAGGTTGCATTTTTTGCATGACTGTTTATACTACATCACCTGCTACCCATGTCTTTCTCCTTTTTCTTCACCATCATTCCTAAGGTACACTTATTAAACTTTGTAAAGTACCATGTACATTGACAGAACTGTTCAATAATATGCTTTTAATTTAAAAAAAAGTATCTTAAGTTGCATGGTACAACCATTTACTAAGCAGAAAACTGCTTGAGTGTTCATTTGGTGAGCTGGTCATCTCTTTCATCCTGCTGTATTGTGAGGGGAGTTGACTCTGTCCTTGATTCTCAATTTGATGACCAGACTGAAAGTGTTGCCAAGTGCATAGCAGACCCACACAGATGGCTAGCTTACCATGTGATTATGTGCAAACTGTGTTAAGTTATCACTTAAGTGTCACTCTGTGTTCATGTGGTGTATGTAAATTTCTAATCCAGAGCAATTTGGCAGATAAACTTGCATATTCTATTTTTCAACCTACTTTTTGCAATCGTCTTTAAAACGAGCAAATAATGCCCACATGGAGATTTTGTACAACTCTAATGCAATCATGAAGGGCTCTGTTTTGTCTGAAGCTGTGATTGGAAGGATGCTTAATCTTATCCTCAGAGCATTTTCCTGATCCAAAATTCTACCACTACTGCCAATACTGAGGGGGAAATGACCATGCTCCTATGTGTTTCTTCTTAGAAGAAAAGCATCTTGAGAGTGGTAATCCTGACTCCCAGGAAGGGGAGTAAGCATCCCTTCAACATTCCATCTTAAAACTGCAGCTGCATCAAAGAACCAATACACTTAAGATGAAGTTTGGACGCAAAGCCATCTTTTCCATTCTATGATTTTCAGACCCACAAATGTTTATGAGCTGTAGTTCACAATGAAGCCCTCTTCCACAGGAAATGCCACATCGTATGGCATTTTCCACAGCCAAGAACACAATTTCATTCCAATATCACAACATTGCTAAATCCACTCACCATCACTAGTTTGCCACAGAACCATAATTATATCCGCTTTCTCCAGTGCCAGCTCATCATTCTCTCGGGCTTTGTATGATCTCACACACTGAACTTGAGGTGCGTCTGAAAATTTGATTGGTACAGATGGTTTGTTAGCTGGTAGATGCTTTGTTAAAATCAGTCAATTGCATTGTGTGCTTTTAAAAGTGAAAATACTGTGGTACCTCGGCTCACGAATGCCTCAGTTCGTGACCAAATCGGGTCGTGAACAGAAATTTCAAAAAAATTTTGCTGCAGGTCGCGAACTCTGCATCGGATGACAATTGTGAGTATGCCCACCTTCCCTGCATGGGCGCAATCGTGGTAGTGCTGGGTGGGGGAGATGGCCACAATTGTGTTCATATTCCCTGCCTGAGCGTGCCTGCGTCCACCCCACCTGTCCCCTCGCGTGGCCACGTGCACCTCCCTCCTCCGTGTGCGCCTGTGCCCGCCTCCCCCATGCTCACCTACACCCACCTCCCCTCGTGTGTGCCCACCCCCCATGTGCACCTGCCCCCGTGCTCGCTCACTCCCCCCCAGCACGCCTGCAATCATGGCCATCTTCCCCCTTCCCCCCCACACGAATGCTGGGGGGAGGGAGATGGCCGCGATCTTTGTTGTTCTTTGTCACTTTGCTTCAAATTTTTCTGATTAAAAAAAAATAGTTACAGAACAGATTACCCTTATTTACATTGACCCTTATGGGGAAATTTGACTTGGCTCATGACCAATTTGGGTCACAACAAGAATCCTGGAATGGATTAATTTGTGAGCCAAGGTACCACTGTATAGTCACAGATGTGTATCCTTTGCAACTAAAAAAAAGTAAAAATAAAAGATGAGTTCCAAGGAAATCTGTATCCATGATTTCCATAAATCATAGACTAGCATAGGCAGAAGTAAATACATTTTAAAAATGCAATTCTATTCTCTGCTTTTGAAATCTGAGATTCCACCAGGCACTGATCACAATGTTTTTGCATTAAGAAATAGAAATTTGTGTGTAGTCTTGCCATATTCAAACAAAGCTGGAATGAACTTTCTTGGAAATGATTAATGATTTGAAATGATTAAAGAATGATTGTGTACCCAGTACAAATTCTGTTTTATTCATTTATTAATTTAATGGATGTTTCCAAGTATGTTATTTTCCCAAGGTAATTTATAGTAATCCATAAGATCAGTAAGTGCGATTACATGAAAATAGCATTAAAATAAAAAATAGCCTTATGTATATTTGTAGTGGTCAGGTGGGTGAGCATTTCCATGTGCATGTGCCTGCTGAAGAGACAGGAACACTTGCAAAGTGGTGTGCAATGAAAGAGGGCTGGGCTGGAAATGTTTGAAAGATGCTAGCATAAGCTCAAGGGACTGTGCAGCTGAAGACAGGAAGCAACCCCTCCATAGCAGTCAGGTAAAATTCTAAGTCAAAAGGGAAAGGAAAAATAATAGGGATGGGACACTAGATGCATGTGGGCAAGAAAAAATGGGAGTTACAATGTGACATGGCTCTTATACATGGTTAGGGTTCTGTTTCTGAAGAGTAAGGCAGCTGGGAGAAGTCCCAGCTAAAGCTGGTGTGCCACTATCACTGGGCTTTTGTGGAACATTTTACCCTAGAATTGAAAACTGCTTTAGAACATTGGGAGCTGAGAAGGGAAATCTACTTCTCGATAAAGCTGCAAAAAAGGAATTGTATATGCTGAATATGAATGCAAAATCCCTACAATGGGAGTTAGTTCTCTTTCATGCCCTGAGTATTCTTACCAGGATCACCCAGAAGGTCAGGTTCTGTTTGAGGTGGCATAAGAGCAGAAATCCATCGCAGCTTCTCACTCCTAGAAAATGAAAAAGAAGTGCTGAAAATAATTCTTAAGATATACTTAATATTTGCTGCTAAAAGAGCAAGATGTGGTATGCTTTGTTTCATTTACTTATAGCATACAACTTTAACAGAGCTATTATTCTCATGACCTCTGCCCAGACATACCCGAAATGCTAATGAGAGATAGCAGTACCAACAAACTCATAAATCCAAGCTCAGGAATCCTTTCCGTGCTGTTCTGCTAATATTTAAAAGTATATTCTTTCAAGCAACAAATCATGCTCCAGTCTGGAAGATCAGGTGAGATAGATTTCCCCAGCTTGGTGCCCTCCACAATAAACATGCTGGCTGTGGATAATGTGAGTTGTAGCTGACATAACAGGTAGCACCTGGGTGAGATCACCAGGCTGGGGAATGCAATCATTCTGTTATGCACATATGTGCATACACATGCTATTCATTTCTGTAGCAGTGCAGTGTAACGGTCAAGAGTGCAGGACTGGGACTCAGGTGATAGGCATTCTAGTCCCCATTCAGCCCAACCTACCTTACAGGGTTGCTAATGTGAAAATACAACTGAGAAGAGGAAAGGAATTATGTAAATTACCAGGAGTTCCTTCAAAGGAAAAGAGTAGGATATAAATATAATTAATAAATACCAGAAGTGCTTCATTAGGTAAAGCAGTCCCTAGCCCTGTAAGGCTTCACAGGGAATAACCAGCAGCTTGAGTTGGGCTTATAACCATACACGCAGCCAGTCCAAGCAAGTCAGAATTAGTGTTCTATGTTCAGACCTTGCAGTTCCTACTATCAGTCTGAAGCGAATGGGAAGAGAAACAGATCTATTTCATCCAGGAAAAGAATTCTTTGTGGATATGTGTAACCTCCCAACCCTTGTTCTGAGGTCTGTTTGAGAAGTGGATGCAATGCTGGTTAAGCCTGGGAGTGGGGGATACATTCTCCACCTCTTGCTAAACAAGCAGCAGTGAACTCAATGTGCTCTTCAGGATAAGTTCTTCTTGGTCACAAGGACCACATTTATACTTTATCCTGCATCTCATCAGGATTTATGCTGCTACTTTCAGGTGATCCTAAAGGTAAATAAACACATAATACTTTAAGGCTTCATTCACACATTTAACCACAACCCCTGCTGGAAATTGTTTGTCCAATTATGCATGAACCCAGCACTCTGGTTGCCGTGAATCCCCAAGGAGGACCAATGGTCTGTTCTAAGGTTGCTTGTAGTTATGTGTGACCCCAGCTACAATGTTTTTGCATTGTTTCCCCATTTACACTAGCACGTTTGGTGGCAGGAGTAGATGTCAGAAACTGCAGCAGAAACTCTGGCTGCCATTTTCTGCTGGTCTGTTCTGCCTAGTAACTGCTAAGTTACTGGCGGCAGGGTGCTCACTGGCTGTCTTTCCTGCCAGCACATGTTCTCCGACACCTAGCTGCCACAGTGCCCCATTGCAGCAACAGGATCTTGCCAGCAGCAGGGCATCATGGTGGCAGGGCAGCTGGGCATCAGACAGCAAGTGCCAGCAGGGAAGGCAGGAAGTGCCTCCAGCAGCAGAGACAATGGGGTAGCTGTGCATGGTGCTCTGCCTGGTCGCTGCCCTGTGCTGTAGCAGTGCCTGGTAAGTGGGCTGCCCTCACGTTGCACAGGGAAACCCACTGCCTTCCGGGAAAGCTACCCTGCTTACGAGGAGCCCATGGGCAGCATGCAGGGCACTGCTACCAGGACAAGTGTCTTGGGGAGCCCATGCCTCCTGCTCTGCCCTACTCCCACCCTGAATCCAACAATCCAGGGGACACCCCACAGTCTGCACTGTCCTCCCCTCCTAACTGCCTGCCAATGGCACTTCCCAGCCAGATGCTCATATGGGCATCATCAGGGAAGTCTGGCTGGCAGGGCATACTCCTTCCATGCCCAGCACTGGTGCCTATACTGATGCCCTTCAGACAGCATGTGCAAATCCTAAACATAAGGCATAGCACTGAACACATGTGAAGCAAGGGATTGGAGAGAGGTGTGTGTGGGCATGCTGGTGGGTGCTTCTGTATGGGCACAGAGTGTGACAGCAGGGCAGGTGAGTAGACAGTAATGTGTAGACAGTGGTTCTGTGGAGCAGCAGGGGAAAAATGCTGCTGCTGGCTGAGAACATGCTCAGGGGAACATGTGGGCTAATGGGGGAGAGGCAGGCAGGGCAGGCAGAAGTGGAGGGATGAGTTATATTTATAGACTGTATTTTTCCTTTCAAGAAATTCAAGGCAGCTCATACCATTCTCTTCTTCCTCTCAGTCTCATGCTCACAACTAACATGTGAGGTACATTGGTCTGAGAGATGGAGAGGTGTAGAAACTACTCATGAGTAGATAGCATACAAATGTATGGACACAGAACAGAAGATGAGATATCATGCCATGCAGTAACTGTGAAGTATTCTTTAGTGTTATGTGTGAACTCAGCCTAAGTGTGGCAGAGGTGGTTTTTGAGTGGCTCTGCACTGAAAAGTTGTTTTTAAATGCAGTTGATTTACTCTGAGGTTAAAAAAAGTACTCAAGATTTGCCAATGGTGGGTGTCAGGGACAGTAATTATTATGGGTGATTGGTATCAGCTCTTCCCCATAATTCTGCCTCCAGAATCACTCCAAATTTGTAATCATTTTTAAATTTTCTGAAAATGTTTGGCAAGTGGACAAGTGAACATATATGCACAAACATGTATGGCAAACTCTGTATGAGAAACTGAATCCAGAAACTGATTTATATGTCCATGTGTATGATGTTTCTTCATCCCTTATGAAGTGTTTTGTTTTAAATTTGTACCCCTTGTTTAAGATCCAAAGGAGAGGATAATCCAAATAATCTAAAAGTAAAAGCCTATTAAAAACAACCTTAACAATAAAGTCTAGTATGGCATGGAGAAAGCTCCCTTTGGAAATATTAAGGGATTCCCCTAACTTAATGTACTCAATGCCAAGTGCTGCACACTCCTGCAAGGGTCAGCTGAATGTGCTTTGCTCATCATTTACATTCTCACTGAAAAGTCAAAGGACAAGCAAAACCAACGCCCCAGCTTAAGCACTGCTGGAAAAGGTCCAGCTGACATTTTGATCAGGGATCCAGTGATCATTCAGTTTATAGACAGTGAAGTGTATGATTCCTAGCCCCATCCTAGCCTAATGCAAAAGTGTCTTTTCTCATGTTCACAATTCTGAAAGTTAACCTGAAGAATACTGTGGTGCTGGGGATTCTAAGGCAACAATCTTTAGCTTTTCTTACTGTGTTTCTGTACGGAAGAGGAACTCTACTTTTTTCCCTTGATTGTTCTGCAGCAGGAATAGGCGGAAAACATTTTTGTTTGCTCCATGCAATTTCATTTCACACTTCTCTCCACGCACATCTGAGGAGGCAGCATAATCAAATACAATAAAGCGCCCATTCCTACAGTGGAAAAAGATGCAGAAAAGTAGGAGTATTAGGGAGGAGATTATTGTTTTTGTGAATAATAAAGACAGCTGCTTGCTTCTGATTGTTTAAAATCAGAAAAAATAGAAAAAATACTATTTATTCCTTCTTACAAACTTAGAGCCAATTATTAAAGTATCTCAATTTTTGTTGGAATGCTCTCTGGAATATTGTAGAAACATGAAAATAGTTGTTTTTGGATCTCCATGGACAGGCCAGAGCTGCTTTGGCTGAGTGCCCAAGGTCATTCAAAGAGCTTTACAGCTTAGTGAAAATTTTGATCCAGATGTTTCCCAACATAGTCCAATAATCAAACCATTATACCACACAGTTTACTTTTTTAAAAAATAGTCAGCCTTGGCACAATGCCATTGGACAGTGTCCTGGCAATGAAGACTGGGCCTACTTTTTGATTAGTTCTGATTGCAGCAGTCAGTGTTGGCTCTAGACTTGAGGAAAACTTTGGGCAAAAGGCTTGATTGGGAGGGGAGGAGGGAGGAACCTGAGCTGGGAGGGACAGACTGCTCTAGGGATTAGCAGTGTCAATTTTGTGAAAATTTTACTTTGACAAGTACTGGACAATACCAGTGGGAAAAGTTGAGGAACCATGATGACCCACAACAGTTTTACATACTCTAGTTTCCACTTTGGCTCTAGCTATGTTAAACATAGAGCTTGATTTATCACAGATTTATTGTCAAATCTCAACAATGACTTTGGTATAATGGGCTCTGCAATCACCATGCTTTAGACAATCTTTGAGATAAAGTTTGCAGAACCAATGGTAGCCCCAGAGTCCATCAACAGTTTAACCCCCTGAATAAAACTTAGATGTGTAATTCATCTCCCAGCACTTACTCCCTGGGCCGAGACAGTAGCAAGTAGTCATTAAAGAGATGCAGATAGATGGGACGAGTGGTAAGTTTCCACTTTAAGCTCATGTTGTACTCCAGTGCTGTAAGCTCACCACTCTTCACTAGCCGTCGTGACTGTGAGATAAGTGGAAAAATCTGCAAAAGCAAGCATAATTCTTATTTTAGTACAAGGCCAGTGCTAAAAAGAAGTGGGAGGGATTAGCGGTGGAAGAAATGCAGTGTTCCAATTAATTTCTACAAAAGATTTCACAGAAAATGAGTAACATGGGTAGATATTAAGTATTGGACCAGCAAAGAAAGAATGCCACTCCTGAGAATGGTATGTCTCATATATACAGAACGGAGCTTGATCATTGCTTCTGCTGCTCGGAGAGCAGGAAGCAAAGCAACTGAAGGAACAAAGAGAGTGCTGTAATTTAATATTTTAAAATATATTTTTTAAAATGGGTATGGAATGGGCTTCCATGGGAGGTGGTTGAAGCTCCATCAGTATTTAAGGATAGGCTGGACATACAAATAGTTGGCATGCCATGAGCAGAGCCTAATAGAGCCATGGGTCAGTCTAGGTGGCCCAGGAAGGCCCTTCCGACTTGCTCTGTTTTGTTTCTATGTTTTTTCTATGTTGAGCTCTCTACCAAGGTGCATGCACCTTTCTTTGAACAGTGGCTTTTGATCCATGTTATGAGATTATGCAGCCCAAACATAAACCAGAAGGCTGAAAAGAGAAGTTGCTTCAGTCTACGAATTCTCTCCTAAAAAGACCAGTCTGGCTGGATACTAATCTTGAGCATTCGTACTTGGTGTTCATAGAATCATAGATTGGAAGAGATGGATGGGGCCATAAAGGCCATCGAGTCCAACTCCTTGCTGTTGCAGGACACCATGTTACACCATCCCACTCAGATGGCTGTCCAGTTTCTTTTTGAATGCCTCCAGTGTGGGAGAGCCCACCACCTCTGTAGGCAGCTGGTTGCACTGTTGTATTGCTCTGAGAGTGAGGAAGCTTTTTCTCATGTCCAGCCTGAATCTGGGTGTTGCAACTTGAATTGATTATTCTGTGTCCTACACTCTGGTATCAGCAAGAAGAGATCTTGACCTTCCTCTTTGTGACAGCCTTTGAGGTACTTACAGAAGGATATGCTGTCCCCCCTCAGTCTACGCTTCTCAAGGCTGAACATGCCCAGTTCCTTCAGTCTCTCCTCATACAGCAGTGTTTCCAAACTCTGGATCATTTTTGTTGTCCTCCACTGGACCCTTTCTAATTTACCTGCATATTTCTTTAATCTTGGTGCTCAGAACTGCACACAGTATTCCAGGTGAGGTCTGACTAGTGAGGAGTATAGAGAAACTACTACTTCTTGTGATTTGGAAGTAATACTTCTGTTAATGCATCCCAAAATAGCATTTGCCCTTTTAGCAGCTGCATCACATTGTTGGCTTATGTTTAGCCTATTGTCCACAATTACTGCAAGATCTTTTTCTTGTTCAGTTCTGTTGAGCCACGTATTCCCCATCTTGTATCGATGCCTTTGGTTTCTTTTTCCTAGATGGAGAACTTGGCACTTGCCCTTATTGAATTTCATTCTATTGGTTTCAGCCCAGTGTTCAAGTTTATCAAGATTGCCCTGGATCTTCATTCTGTTTTCTAGGGTGTTTGCTATTCCATTCAGTTTTGTATCATCTGCAATTTGATTATCTTTCCTTGTACTTCCTCATCTAAATCAGTAATAAAGATGTTGAAGAGCACTGAGCCCAGGACTGAATCCTGTGGCACCCCACTAGTTATCTCCATCCAATCTGAGAAGGTGCCATTGATGAGCATTCTGTGTGACCAAGTAGCAGCCAATTTTGCATCCACCTAATAGTTTTTCCATCTAGTCCAGTTTTTGCTAATTTGCTTATCAGAATGTTGCATGGCACTATGTCAAAAGCTTTGCTGAAGTCTACACAGATTATGTCTACAGTGCTCCCTTTGTCCATTTGGGAGGTTACCCAGTCAAAAAATGAGATTAAATTAGTCTGACACAATTTATTTTTGATAAATCCATGTTGACTTCTATTAAGCACTGCATTTTCTTCAAGATGCTGGCAGATGAATTTTTCAATAATTTGCTCCAGAATTTTTCCAGGGATTGACGTCAGACTAACTGGTCTATAGTTCCCAGGTTCATCTCCCCCCCCCCTTTTTTTTTGAAGATAGGGACAGCATTAGCCTTTCTCCAGTCATCTGGCACTTCTGTTTTCCAAGATTTATCGGATAGCCAGTGGTTCTGAGAGTTCGTCCACTAGCTCTTTTATGACTCTGGGATGGAGTTCATCAGGCCCTGGAGATTTGAAAGTGTTTATTCCACCTAGGTATTGCTTGACCATTTGTCTGTCACTCTTGGGCTGCCATCTCTCACTTCCAGATTGAACTTCCACTTGATTGCAGATTTCCTTGTGGGAGAAGACTGAGGAGAAGTAGGAATTGAGCCTCTGCCTTTTCTTTGTCATCTGTTATCACTCTGTCATCCACTTTAAGTACCTGGACACCCTTCTCTTACTCATGTCTTTTGTTCTGGATCTATCTGAAGAAGGCTTTCTTGTTGTGCTTAGCATCCCTTGTGGTTTCGGCAAGGGGCGGCATAGAAATGTTATAATAATAATAATAATAATAATAATAATAATAATAATAATAATAATAATCTTAGTTCATTTTCTGCTTTAGCCCTCCTGATGCAATTCTCGCAATTCCTTGCTATTTGTTTAAATTCTTCTTTTGTGGCCTGGCCCTGTTTCAACTTCCTGTACATGTTCTTTTTTCTTTCAGGCTGTCACTGAACCCTTTGTGGAGCCATGTGGACTTCCTCTGCTGTCTTCTACACTTTTTTCTTGATGGAATTGTTCGTAGATGTGCTTCAAGAATCTTCTTTTTCAAGATTTCCCATCCCCCTTGGACACTTTTCCCCTTAAGGGTGTGTTGCCATGGCACTTCGCTTATCATTTTTTCTGAGTTTGTTAAAGTTGGCTTTCCTGAAGTCCAGGATGCTTGTTTCGCTTCAGTAATCCTTTGTCGTTTTCATAATTGACAATTCAAATATTACATGGTCACTTTCCCCCAGAGTTCCCATGGTTGTTATTTTGCCCACCAGGCCATCCCTGTTAGTATTAAATCCAGTATAGCTGATCCTCTCGTACCTTCCTCTACTTTCTGCTGGAGAAAGTTGTCAGCAACACATGTCAGCAATCTCTTGAAAGGGCCATGCTTGGCAGAATTTGTCTCCCAGTATATATCGGGGAAATTGAAGTACCCCATAGTGACTACATCATTCTTCTTGGAAATGCTGGCAAGTTGCTTTTCAAAGGTTGCATCCTTGACCTCTTTTTGACTGGGTGGATGGTAATATATGTCAACAATTATGTTTTTCTTATTTTTTGCTCCCTTTAAATTTAGCCAGATGCTTTCAGTGGACTACTAAGTTCTTCTTGAATTTTGTGCTGATATATGTATCTCTCACATATAGTGCAACTCCACCTCCCTTTTTGTCCTTTCTATTTTTCTTGAACAGGATGTATCCATCAATTGTAGAGTTCCAGTCATGTGAGTCATCCCACCAAGTTTCTGCTATTCCTATAAGATCATAATTGCCCTCGTGTACTATAAGCTCAAGTTCGTGTTGCTTGTTTCCCATAACCTGGGCATTGGTGTAGAGACATCGAAGTTCATTCTTGCTGTGCCCTGGTTTTCTTTCTACGTTTTCTGGGAGACTGGTGCTGGGCCCTGCTTGAGGTTTTTTCTCTGTTGAAATTTATAAGTCTTTGCCAGGTGCTGGTATGTCATGCTGCACATCTCCCTCCCCTATAGGTTTTAGTTTAAAGCTCTTCTGATGAAGTTTCTCATGTGGTGGCCGAACACCTGCTTCCCAGTCTTTGTGAGGTGAAGCCCATCATTTGCCAGTAGTCCATCTTCCAGGAAGCTTAGCTTGTGGTCCCAGAATCCAAATCTCTCTTTATGGCACTACCATCGTAGCCAGTCATTCACTTTTTTTCTCTAACAGTTCCTCTTCCACATACTGGTAGGATTGAGGAGAAGACTATCTGGGTCCCAGTGGTTTTTATTTTAATCCCTAGAGCTTTGAATTTGGAATTTATATCAGCAAAAGTTCTCATGACAGTGTAATTAGTTCCCATGTGGAAGAGAAGGAAGGGGTATTTGTCAGTGGGTCGTATGAGTTGTGTGAACTTGCTGGCTATATCTTTAATTTTGGCGCCAGGGAGACAGCATACTTGGTGATTCTCATATCATCACAACATACATATTTTTCCATTCTTCTGCACAAGGCGGAATCTCCCACAACTAGCACTCTTTTCCTTTTGTTGCAAATTTTACTATCCTTTTCCTTGTTTGATTGGCCTTTTGTCTCCAAAAAGAGAGTTATTCAGTGTGTCATGTAGTTCTTTTACAATGGGTTTCTCACCAGTCTCTTTCTCAAGCAACTCAAAGTGGTTTGAGAGTTCCACTGCTTCCATGGGTGCAGGGTGTTTTCTAGTTCTTCTGCATCTAACCGTCACCCTGTTCCAGCAAGTTTTCTCATTTTCTCTTCTCTCAGGGTTCTCTTCTGCTGCCTTGGCTTGCTGCTGTTCTTCTTCCTTCTGGACTACATTTACATGTTGCAGGTTCTCCACTCTGTCTAGAAACTCTTCATTTTCTTTTACTGTCAGAAGGGTGGACACTCACTGCTCCAGTGCTCTCATTTTTTCCTGTAATAGAGGTACTAGTGTGCAGCAGTTGCAGTTGTTGCAAGGCACCATTGTGGAGTCTTCTTGGTGCATTGCTTGCACCACTGCATACAGCAGGGGATTTAAGGTGAAAAGCTGTTGGGTTTGAGAGACAAATTTGGGAATCTATTACCACACTGACTACTCTATGCCCACCAGGTCTCCCTGCCTGAATTAATAGAGGTAGTCTTAGGGATGGTATTGGGAACTTGTAAGATGATTATCCAGGTAGATATCATCATCAATTTAATTTCTGTACTGCCCCATAGCTCTCTGGGTGGTTTACAGTAAGGAATAAAACACAACACAAAGCAAATAAATAAAACAATAAAGTGAAAAGAGTTAACATTAATTTAAAATAGCTTAAAATGCAATAAAAAGATCCAGCAAGAAGAATTATCAGAATAACCAGAGATCTTTAAAGGCACTGAACAGATGGGCCACCAGCTGAAGGTGCTCTGAACCACTGAGGCAATCTGAACCTCAAGTCACCAAGATGGTTCAAGGAGCACCCCCAAGCTACATACCTGTTCCTTCAGGGGGAGTGCAACCCCTTTTTTAAGTTATCATAAATAGAAAAGAATGTGGGGGCTGACCCAGCAGGTCCGATGTTTCTGATGATTGATGTTGTTTTTAGTTTCCTTTTGTTTTAGGGTTATTTTGAATAAAACATATTTTTTTAAAAAAGGGGGGGAGCGCAACCCCATCCAGAACAGGTTGAATATCCTCCATACAGGTAAAGGACCCACCCACCGTCTTTGCCTTGTCTGGATTGAGTTTGTTTGTTTAGCCCTCATCCAGTCAATTTTTGCAGCCAAGCACGGGCTTAGCACATCCACAGCCTCACCTGATGATGATGATGATGAAAAGGGCAAATAGAGCAGTGTGTTATCAGCATATTGATGACAGTACACTCCAAAACTCCAGATGACCCCCACTCAGTGGTTTCATGTAGATGTTCAATAGCAAGGGAGGGATTCCATGCTGCAGAATCCACAGGGTTAAACAATGCTCCCCAAGCACTACATTCTGGAGACAACCCTTTAAGTAGGAGAGGAACCAGTGCCCCTGACTCCCATTTCAGCCAGTCACTCCAGAAGGATACCATTGCTGATGGTATCAAAAGCCACTGAGAAGTCCAGCAGTATCAACAGGATTGCACTACTCTGTCCTTCTTCCAGCATAGATCATCATACAGGGCACCCAAGGCTGTTTCTTTATCAAAACCAGGCCTGAACTCTGGCTGAAATGGATTCAGATAATCAGTCTCATCCAAGAACATCTGGAGTTCATTAGCAACCACCCTCACTAGAAACTTGCCCAGGAAAGGAATATTTGCTACTGGCCTGTAGTTATTAAATTTTTCCAGGTCAAGGGAAGGTTTCCTGAGAAGTGGTCTCTCTACCACCTCTTTAAGGCAGCATGGGACCACTCCCTTTTGCAAAGAGGCATTGATGACCTCCCTGGCCCAGCCAGTTATTCCTTCCTAGCTTGCTGTTATAAGCCAGTAGGAGCGAGGATCCAGTAAAGAGGTGATCACATGAACCTGTACAAGCACTTTGCCCATGTCCTCAAGCTGTATCAATTGAAACTCATTCAATAAAACTGGACCAAACTGTGCTCTGGATATTTCCACAGATTCTACAGCTATAACCCTACAGTGCAAGTCCTGGCAGATGCACACGTTTTATAAGATGCAATCATATCAACAGCCTGGGTCATTTCTGCATTCCACAGAGTGACCAGGACTTCAACAGGAGTGCCAGCTGTATCAGCCAGAAAATTCTCCAAAACCCTCTGGAAACCACTCAGACCCATTAGCCCCTGGGGGCAGAGCATCTTAATGGGTCCCAGTGCCCAGTGCTTTTTTTTAAATTATTGACTTGGATTAGGAAGTGCAGGGAATAATTAACAAATTCGCAGATGACACAAAACTGGGTGGGATAGCTAATACTCTGGAAGACAGAAACAAGATTCTAGGTGATCTTGATAGGCTTGGGATGCTGGTCTGAAAACAATAGATTGAAATTCAATAGGGACAAATGCCAAATTCTGCACCTAGGAAAAAGAAACCAAATGCATTGCTAGAAGATGGAGAATAATTGACTCAAGAATCCTGCTAGTGAGGATCTGGAATTGTTGTAGATCATTGCTGAATACTTACTGCTGCATATGAGTCAATAATTTGTTGTCGCTGCGAAAAAGTGTAAATGCTATTTTAGGCTGCATTAATGCAAGTATCCTTTCCAAATCCCATTAAGTACTAGTTCAGGCTAGATATCAGGAAAAGTTTCCTCACTGTCAGAGCAATACAGGTGTGGAACCAGTTGCCTAGAGAGGTTGTGGGCTCTCCACACTAGAGACATTCAGAAAGAAACTGGACAGTCATCTGAGTGGGATGGTATAAACTGGTGACGTGCAACAGCAGGGGGTTGGACCCAATAGCCTTCTTGGACCCTTCCAACTCTCCTATTCAGTGACTCTGGTTAGGCCTCATCCAGAATGTTGTGTCCAGTTCAGTTTAAGAAAGATGCAGACAAGCTGGAAAGGAGACAGAGGAAGGCAACAAGGATGATCCAGGACTGGAGACAAAGCCCTGTGAGAAGAGCTTGAAAGAACTGGGTATGTTTAAAGACTGAGGAGAGAGATGATAGCACTCTACAACTCTTTGAAAGGCTGTCACAAAGTGGAAGGACAGTATCTCCCACAGGGCAGAACATGGACTAACAGGATCAAATGACAGGAAGCTAGCTGTCAGGAACATTTCCTGACTGCTAGAGCAGTACAACAGTGGAACCAATTAGAGAGGTAATGGGATCTCCCACACTAGAAGCATTCAAGATGCAACTGGACAGCCATCTAATAGAAACGGTTTAACATGGAGTCCTGCACTGAGCAGGAGATTGACTTTCTTCCCCCTTCCAACTCTACTATTCTATTATTCTAAAAACCACTGTCAGTTTAAATCTCAGCAGGTGATGATCTGACCATGACAAAGGGACTGAGTCAAAGCCCCCACACTCAGAGCACCATTCTAGAGAAAAAGTCTAGAGTATGCTCTGCCGCATGCATTGGGTCAATGACATGTTGGACAGCTTCATAGATGGTTGCATAGCCAGCAGTGTGGCTTCTAGATTGAGACAGGTATTACTACCATTCTGTATGACTTTGGTGCACCCACAACTGGAGTATTGTGTTCAGTTTTGGGCCCCTCGTTACAGGAAGGATATAGCCAGGTTAGAGTCAGTGCAGCATAGGGCCACAGGGTTGGTGGTCGGTTTGCAGGGAAAGCCATATGAGGCGAGACTGTGAGGGAACTGGGTCTTTTCAGCCTAGAGGAGACTTTGAGGGGATCTGTTGGCAACATACAGGTATGTGAGGGGGTGTCACATGGAGATGGGTAGAGACCTGTTCTCCCCTGCAGAGGAAGGCAGGGTGCACTCCAATCAAGCAAAGCTCAGAGAACCCAGGTTCAAGTTAGATGCCAGGAAGGACTTCCTGACAGTTAGGACCCTGAAGGTATGGAATCGGCTTCCACGGGATGTGGTTGAGGCCTCATCGGTGAGGGTGTTCAAGGCTAGGCTAGACATGCACATGGTGGGCATGTTGTGAACGGAGCCGGCTGGAGCTGGGGATCAGACTAGATGGCCCGGGAGGCCCCTTCGGACTCGCTCTGTTTCTATGTTTCTATGACCTTGATGGCTTTACCAGGTTTTATTGATTTACCAGCCATGACCATTTCTGGAGAGAGCCTAACCATGGTGATCCATGTTTTGATAACCTCCTAACCGGACTAGTGGAGCATGTTATATGTGCCCCTGAAGACCACACCAAAACTTCAGCTGGAGTTCTACCTGGTACAGCTAGGCTTGTACACATTTTCCTTCCTTCATTCCTATATCACTTGTAGCTGAAGCACGTTATACTCATTTTCAAATAGCTTCACTGTCTACACACATGCATCTGGTCCAAGTTCATAATTTTGAAACTCCGAATTGCTCAGGACCCAAAAGTGATGATGCAACTCTGGCTTTACCAAATTTCCTGTGTTAAGATGCCTCTTAATCAGAGGTGGATATTTAGAAAGTATTATTAACAAATGGAAGTGGACAGTGACACCCTCACCATGGAATGCCTTTCTTATAACAGTTTGCCTTATGCCAATGCTGCAATCTTTCTGGTGCTAGAGTCTGCAAATAAAGGAGTAAAGAAGAGGGTTTCTGGCCCATGTAGGCCTGTGGATCATCTTTTCTCTTAAATGAATTGAGGGTTTCATACCAAAAAGATTTTCAAAGTAACCAGTTCAGTGGTCATGTACGAGCTCCTATCTGTGGCTTCCACCCTGTCAAGGCGTGCAGCCCAGTATGTAAACAATCCACACATTCTAGAGCAATAAAACTAAAGTCCTTTAATGTTAATTGTCTACAAGATTTACAACTCTATAGATAAGTTGCCTAATAGCAGTCCTTGCTAAGCAGATGTTAACTCTCTATTGGCTTCTCTTCCCAAGCCCACATGGGATCAATCTCCCAAGTCACGCCTTTCCTCCCTCTTACGTAATAAACTTTGCCGCTGTTCATATCTGCGTAAAATACGTCTGTTTTCAAGCTTTTGAGAAATCCACAACACCTATTGTGTCTTCTGTTTCCGGCTCAGGGAGATCAGCATCAGAGGGGGAAGAGGCAGTTTGCTCTGCCTCCTTCTGAGTAGAATTTACAGCTTCCTCTTTCTCATGACTCTCTGTCTCTGATAAAGGTCCAGGCGTTTGTTCAATGTGCTGGGGGTCAGAGGAAGACGCAGCAGCTGGCTCAGCTGTCTCTGCATTGGGTTGTGAGGTTGACTCTTGGGCACTGGGTGTCAAGTGTAAGGTCTCCTCATAAGTCACTGTTTCTGTCGGGGCTTCATGCATGACACACCCAGTAGGTAAGGATACACAGTTATCCATTTGAATTCTTTTCTGAGAAAGTTTGCTGTCCTCTTCTATTCATTTTTTCATTTATTTATTTTATTATTTATTTCTTAATTTTACAGACCACTTTAATAGTCCTACCAGACCCTCTAAGCAGTTCACATCACAACAATATAAAACAATAAAACGGTTAAAACAATAAGCATACAACATTATTATAAATATAACAGTTATATAAAACAGCTGAGAGTATTAAAAATCTGGTGAATTAAGAACATAAAACAATTTATTTGTATGCTGTCCTGAGATCTTGTATAATAGGATGGCATACAAAAGCTTTTAATAAATAAATAAATAAATAAATAAATAAATAAATAAAATCAATTACCATAAAAGTCAATTATTAAAATGTATGGAGAATAAAACTGTTTTTACCTGGCACCAAAAAGGTTATAATGAAGGCTCCAGGCAAACTACTTTAGGATTGCTATTCTAAAGTATAGAATAGATGGGGCAATATTACAGATGGGGCAATATTACTGAAAAAGCCCCTCTTCTGTTCACCATCCTCTCCTCCTTAGGGGATGGCTTTTTCAGAAGGGCTTCTGAGCCTGCCCTAAAGGAATGGGTAGGTATATAATGGAGAAGGTGGTCCTTCAGGTATCCTGATCCCATTCATTCATTCATTTAAAACTTTGTATGCTGTCCTTCACTATCGAGTCTCAGGACGGCTTACATAATTAAAAGCAAAACCATAAAACAGTCAGACAATACAAAAGAATCAGTCAAAACAAGCACTTTGAATTAGGCCCAGCTTTCAACTGATAGCCAATGAAGGTGGTATAAAATTTGCATGATATGGGTGTGTGGACTAGGAACTTGGACTCATGGCCACACAAAATTGAGATGGTTCTCCACAATTGATGGCTCTAGCAATGGGATTGATCTATAGTAGAACTTCCCTCTAGATACTTAAGTTAAAACATTTCTGTCCACCTAGGAATTTTAATTTATGCATATTCTTGCGTATAACGTTTTAGCTGTTTGATATTTGTTTTATGTTACAATTTAATGGATTTCTACCATCATGGTATTCTAAACAGAAGAAAAGTGGCATAAAGGTAAAGGTTTCCCCTTGACATTAAAGTCCAGTCATGTCTGACTCTAGGGGGAAGTGCTCATCTCTGTTTCCTAGCTGAGGGAGCCAGCATTTGTCCATAGACAGTCTCTGTGGTCATGTGGCTGTCATGACTAAACACCAAAGTGCACGGAATGCTGTTTACCTTCCCACCAAAGTGGTACCTTTTTATGTACTTGCATTTGCATGCTTTCGAACTGCAGGTTTGGCAGGAGCTGGGACAGAGCAAAGGGAACTCACCCCGTTGTGCAGATTCAAACCGGCAACCTTCGATCAACCAGCCCAGCAGCACAGCAGTTTAAACCACTGCACCGTACACATTTTAAATAAAATGCTGGGGACCCTGAATTCCTTGGAAGTTTATTACAGATATTCAATAATGGCTGATGAACTTTGCTGAAGAACAGCATGACAACCCATTACTGCTTTTTCATTGTACTTCATAAGCACATTATATATTGCTTTATGAAGCATTCTGTTAACATGGACCAGCACTAAGGCACAGCTGGCCTCAACGTCCTGGTGAGCCTCTTGCATCTTTAGTGTGGCAAAGATTATGTTCCAGAATCCTCTGTAACACAGAAGGGTTGTGTGGCAGATGAGCACATGCTCCATGATGGACAAATAAATATGGAGTGTTCATCTGAAGTTTGAAATTCTGTAAATCACTACTGTAGCCAGAATACTGCAAGTCCACTGTGACAAAAAGATCAGGTAGACAGTGCAATTCCCCAAACAGTGGCTGCCTAATATCCTCACTCCTGTATCATGCCTTTTGTGGCGCTAGCCTAGCCCCACATGCCAACATAGTGATAGGAACTGTACCTGTACACTTCCTACAAGTAGAAGCAAATGTGAAAATGCACATAAAGACCAGTCAGTAGTGAACTGGCTTCAAATGTGGGGTTGACAGGGATGGATGTGTTAAGAAAACAGGTAGTTGGAGCACTTATTAGGAGTCCTGAATCAGTTTTTTTACCTTGCATTCAAATTCCATATTTTGACTTAAGTGGATTAGCTCTTCGGTACTCTTCATGCGTTGGACATTTTCATTGCAATCTTTGATGAGCTGCAGAAAGGAAAGTACTATCAGGATATGAATGACTGAAGAATGGGAGTAATTAGGAAGACAGTGGTGAAAGAAACAATCTGACAGTTTAGGAAGGTGTTACAAACATTTGTTTCTGAAGGGACTGATAGAATTTTGCTTGTTTTTGAAATCTGAGGTATCAAACCATTTTGAATTGCATCCAGAATGTACCAATTGTCATTTGGCAATGACAATCTAGCAGTTAACTTCTAGTTGGTGACATCCCCTCCCAAGCAGGCAACTCCTGTGTACAATGTCTACACGAGAATATCATGTTATAAGAAGCAGTAAAAATTCTAAAACTATGTTACTGCCTTCCCTAGTTGTGTCCTTTGTATTTTATGATGCCTTGAAAAAGGATGGGTGCATAAGATGGTGGTAGGGGAGAGATACTGATTCATAACAATATTGTTCATAAGTGGATTTATTCATCAACCAATACATATCTTGTGTATAAATATGTATACACAACCAATACGTATCTTCCTGAAAGAACTGTGTGAGGTTCTGAGGCAGTACCAGGCCTCCCTCTTCTGGCCAGAGACAAGAATAGCAGCGCTGGTGGTTGCAGGACCGGATCCACATTCAATCACAGCCACCGGGGATGTTACGAGCACCACCTGAGAATCCTGAGGGAACTGCTATATAAGAACTGGCTCTTCCCTTTAGATGTTGCATCAGCAATAAAGGGTCTTGAGATTGTTGGAGCTCCCTATGCCTTCTGGAAACTCTGCCCATCGCCTTACTCCGGCCTCTGCTTCTGGACCATGCCCAGCTTCACCTGCTCCAGTTTTTGCTCCAATCCCGGGTATCCGCTTCTCCTCAGCTTGTCTCTCTGGCGTTCAACTCCTGACTGACATTGACTGCTCTGCTCTAATCAGATTGGCCTGCCTTGCACTTCTATTACCCACCTTGATCTCTGGACAACATAGAAACAGAGCGAGTCAGAAGGGGTCTCACAGGCCATCTAGTCAGACCCCCGGCTCCACTCATGACATGCCTACCATGTGCATGTCCAGCCTATCTTTGAACACCCTCACCGATGGGGCCTCAACCACCTCCCATGGAAGCCCATTCAATACCCTCAGAGTCCTAACTGTCAGGAAGTCCTTCCTGGCATCCAAATGGAACCTTGGGTCCCTGAGCTTTGCTCCATTGGAGCGTGTCCTGCCTACCCCTGCAGAGGAGAACAGGTCTCTACCCATCTCCGTGTGACATCCCCTCACATACCTGTATGTTGCCAACATATCCCCTCTGAGTCTCCTCCAGGCTGAAGAGACCCAGTTCCCTCAGTCTTGCCTCATGCGGCATCCCCTGCAAACCGGCCACCAACCTTGTGGCCCTACCCTGCACTGACTCTAACCTGGCTATATCCTTCCTGTAATGAGGGGCCCAAAACTGAGCACAATACTCCAGTTGCGGGCGCACCAGAGTCGCACAGAGTGGTAGTAATACCTCTCGATCTAGAAGCCACATTTCTGGCTATGCAACCAAGGGTGGTGTTCACCCTCTAGACCACCGCATCACAGTGCTGACTCATGTTTAGCCTGCAGTCCACCAGTACCCCGAGGTCCCTTTCACAAGTGCTGCTCTCCAGCCACTTGTCACCTAACCTGTACCTATGACAGCTATTCCTATGCCCCAAGTGCAAGAACTTGCACTTATCCACATTGAATGCCATCCTGTTGTCTCCTGCCCTCTTCCATAGTCTGTTCTGATCCTTTTGGATCGGGAGTACCTGCTCCTCAGTTGTGGCCACTGCTCCTGTTTTAGTATTGTCTGCCAATTTGATCAGCAGACTGTTCACCCCTTCTTCCATATCATTGATGAAAAGATTAAACAGGATCGGCCCCAGGACAGAGCCCTGGGGGACCCCACTTGTCACTGGCCACTGGCCACCATCCCGATGATTCCCCGTAAATGGTTACCTTCTGCTTTCGGTCAGTCAACCATGCCCTAATCCACTGGACAGTGCTTTGGTGTATCCCAAAACTTCTCAGTTTCTCAACCAGGATATCATGGGGCACTGTCAAAGGCCTTGCTGAAATCCAGGTAAACCACATCCACTGCATCCCCTCCATCTAGCCATCTCGAAACCTTGTCATAGAATTCCAGAAGGTTTTTCTGGCAGGATCTGTTTTTGTGGAAGCTGTGTTCTGTGGCTGCCAGCCGCCCTTCACTATCTAGCATCACTAGATCTCTCTCTATTATGAGCCTTTCCATTGTTTTTCCTACAATGGATGTAAGGCTAACAGGTCTGTAATTCCCCATGTCCCTTCTACTACCCTTTTTGAAAATTGGGACCACTGATGCCACCCTCCGGTCCTCTGGAACTTCACCCGTTCTCCACGAGGCCTCAAAAATGGAGGCCAGCGGGCGTGAGAGAACCCCTGTCAACTCTCTAAATACTCTCGGGTGTAACCCGTCAGGACCTGGCGCCTTTGCAATGTCCAATGCCCTGAGGAGCCCCTTGACTTCTAGGGGGGGTGACTCTAATCTGTGCCCCTAAGTCCCCGGCCTCATCTAATCTCAAATGCAGATCTCCCCCGTCCTGCTTTGGGGAGAACACAGAGGCAAAATAGTCATTTAGCATCTGCGCCTGTTCCCTCATATCAGTCACTGGATCTCCTTCCTCATTTAGTGGTCCCACCACTTGTCTCCCCTTCCTCTTCCTATTTACATGCTGAAAGAAGCACTTTTTGTTGCTCTTGATATTTTTGGCAAGTCTCAGCTCATAATCAGCCTTAGCCTTGTGAAGAATCCTTCTGCAACGGGCCTCCTCCTCCCGGTACACCCTTCTGTCTATTTCCCCCAGTACCCATTTCCTATGGAGGTTCCTCTTTCGTCTAATCCCTCTAACCACCTCCTTTCGCATCCATAGCGGCACTCTCCTCCACCTCCCCACCTTACTGACTAGAGGTATTGTCAAGGCTTGCGCCTCCAAAACCTCCCTTTTGAATGCCATCCACCCCTCCTCAACTCACTTTCCTTCCAGCGATTTGGAATGGGCCTGTATATTGTATTGGTTGTCTGGGGTTAGGGTTAGGGTGGCCTGACCTGATTCCCAGTCACCCAGGCCCCAGACACTGACAAACTGCTAGCATTCAGTGTGTTTGAAAGGCTTCCTGTTAACACTGTCTGCTCTGTTGGAAGTGTTAGAGGATATTTATATTATAATTTGGATATGGTGTGAGATTTTAAAAAGTGCATCACGTGTGATGGTCCAGCTCAGAGAAATTCATGGATCCCCTGTGATACTGAAGATCACTTACACAAAATACACTGGTACCTTTGCTCACAAAATTAATCCATTCCACAACTCTGGTTGTGACCCAAATTGGTTGTGACCCAAGTGAAACTTCCCCATAAGATTCAATGTAAATAAGGTTAATCTGTTCTGTAATTATTTTTTATCAGAAAAATTTAAAACAAAGTCACAAAGAACAAGAAAGTAAAAAAGTGCAGTACAGTGGAGAACACTAACCTAGGTGTGGGGGAGAGGTTATTGTTTTGAGGGAGAGTCCCCCTCCATAAGGACATTGGGGAGATCTCTTTCAGGGGTTTCCTCTCTTCTTTGTCTCTTAGCTGCAGGGTCAATTTTGGTGAAAAATATGTCTATAGTCACTTGTTTTTTGTGTAGTCACTTGGGGGTTGGGGGAGAGTTGGCCGTGATTATGCTGGTAAGGGGGGCAGATGGCCGAGATTGCGCCCATCTTTCCTGCAGGAGTGCACCTGTGATCATGCACATCTTCCCTGCATGAATGCAACTGCGATTATGGCCATCTCCCCACTTGTGGGGGTGGGGAGATGGCCGCGATCTTGGTTACCACCCAATGAGGAGTTCGCAACCCAAGTCAAAATTTTCATGAAATTTTTGTTCGAGACCCGATTTGCTCATGAACCAAGGCGTTCATAAGCCAATGTACCACTGTAGATGCAAGTATGCCTCTAATACTCTTCTACTCTTCTGGCCACCACAACTGGGAAGACAGGGTGGCGGGTGATTGTCGTTGGGGACTCCCTGCTGAGGGGCACTGAGGCGGCGGTGTGCTGCCCCAACCTGGAGACAAGGGAGGTCTGCTGCCCGCTGGGCACACACATCTGGCATGTGAACGACAGAGTGGAGCGTCTTGTTCGCTTCGGAGGTCACCAGCCGCTCCTGGTGATCCATGTGGGCACAAACAACATGGCCAGGCAGGGTGTGGTTGGGATTATCAGGGACTTCAAGGCCATGGGGAAGAAACTCAGGGAGCTAAAGACCCAAGTGGCCTTCTCGTCGATCTTACCGGTCCAGGAATTTGGGCCAGAAAGGGACAGGAGGGTCTCCAAGGTAAATGACTGGCTTAGGGTGTGGTGCCAGAAGGAACGCTTCGGGTTCCTCGACCACGGCACCCAGTTTCTTGCCAATGGACTTCTGGCAAGGGATGGATTGTGCCTCACAAGGATGGAGAAAAGGTCCTTTGGAGATGCTTTAGCGAGCTTCATCCAGAAGAGTTTAAACTGAGCCGGGGGGGGGGGGTTTCAGGCCCCCCAGAAATGTGTCTGTACTGGACAAGTGTGGGGAAAGGATCAGGGCTCTGGGAGTAGGGTTTTTAGAGGTACTGCAGGGACTGACAGGACTCCTACAGAGAGGGACCAGGTATCAGGGAATATGGGAGGAAGGAGGAGGCTGGGAACTCCAAGCAAAGGAAGCGGTGGGAAGGAGTTGAGGTGCATGTACACCAATGCTAGGAGCATGGGTAATAAGCAGGAAGAGCTTGAAGCTCTCCTGGGAATAGGAAGGTATGACCTGGTGGGAATCACAGAAACTTGGTGGGATGAAAGGCAAGAGTGCAATGTGAACATAGAGGGGTATCATCTTTTTAGAAAGGACAGGAAGGGAAAGAGGGGTGGGGGCATGGCATTATACATCAGGGAAGGGGTAGGATGCAGTGAGATAGAATGCAGCACAGATGGGGATTCGGCAGAGGGAATCTGGGTGAAACTTAGGGGTTTTGACAGGGAAAGGGACCTGACAGGGGGGTATGTTATCGCCCTCCAGGTCAACTTGAGACCCTGGATGATGTCCTGACAGGCTAGATTCTAAGGCTATCTCAGGGAGAGACACAGTAATTATGAGAGATTTCAGTCTCCCGGATATTAGTTGGGAGACGCACTTGGCGGTGACAGCCACGTCACGTCGCTTCCTAGAGGCTATAGAGGGAGGGTTTTTCACACAGAGGGTCCAAGAGGTGACGAGAGGGCGAAACATCCTTGACTTGGTCTTGACCAATAGAGAGGAGCTGATAGATGAAGTACAGATTAGGGGAGCTCTGGATGCGAGTAATCACTCCATCCTTTGCTTTGAGATCAGGGAACTGGGGACATACAGCAGGTTGAGCACTAGAAGCTGGGACTTCAAGAGGGCCAACTGTGGCCAACTGAAGGCCAGACTGGGGGAAGTCTCCTAGGATAGGTTACTAGAAGGTAAGCGAGTCGAGGAGGGGTGGATGGCACTCAAAATGGAGGTTTTGGAGGCGCAAGCCTTGACAATACCTCTAGTCAGTAAGGTGCGGGGGTGGAGGAGAGTGCCGCCATGGATGCGAAAGGAGGTAGTTAAAGGGATTAGACAAAAGAGGAACCTCCATAGGAAATGGGTACTGGAGCAAATAGACAAAAGGGTATACCGGGAGGAGAAGGCCTGTTGCAGAAGGATTCTTCGCAAGGCTAAAGCTGATTACGAACTGAGACTTGCCAAGAATATCAAGAGCAACAAAAAGGGCTTCCTTCAGCATGTAAATAGAAAGAGAAATGGGAGACAAGTGGTGGGACCACTAAATAAGGAGGAAGGAGATCCAGTGACTGATATGAGGGAACAGGCACAGATGCTAAATGACTATTTTGCCTCTGTGTTCTCCCCAAAGCAGGACAGGGGCGGATCCGCATAGCAGATTAGATGAGGCCGGGGACTTAGGGGCACAGATTAGAGTCACCCCACAAGAAGTCGAGGGGCTCCTCAGGGTATTGGACATTACAAAGGCACCAGGCCCTGACAGGTTACACCTGAGAGTACTTAGAGAGTTGGCAGGGGTTCTCTCACACTCGCTTGCCTCCATTTTTGAGGCCTCGTGGAGAACGGGTGAAGTTCCAGAGGACTGTAGAGTGGCATCACTGGTCCCAATTTTCAAAAAGGGTAGTAGAAGGGACATGGGGAATTACAGACCAGTTAGCCTTACGTCCATTGTAGGAAAAACAATGGAAAGGCTCATAATAGAGATCTAGTGATGCTAAATAGTGAAGGGAGGCTGGCAGCCACACAACATAGCTTCCTCAAAAACAGGTCCTGCCAGACAAACATTGTGAAATCTATGACAAGGTTTCAACATAGCTAGATGGAAGGGATGCAGTGGATGTGGTTTACCTGGATTTCAGCAAGGCCTTTGACAAAGTGCCCCACGATATCCTGGTTGAGAAACTGAGGAGTTTTGGGATACACCAAAGCACTGTCCAGTGGATTAGGGCATGGTTGACTGACCGAAAGCAGAGGGTAACCATTCGTGGGGAATCGTCGGGATGGTGGCCAGTGACAAGCAGGGTCCCCCTGGGGTCTGTCCTGGGGCCGATCCTGTTTAATCTTTTCATAAATGACATGGAAGAAGGGGTGAACAGTCTGCTGATCAAATTTGCAGATGATACTAAAACTGGAGCAGCGGCCACAACTGAGGAGCAGGTACTTTAGATCCAAAAGGGTTTGGACAGACTATGGAAGTGGGCAGGAGACAACAGGATGGCGTTCAATGTGGATAAGTGCAAGTTCTTGCACTTGGGGCATAGGAATAGCTGTCATAGGTACAGGTTAGGTGACAAGTGGCTGGAGAGCAGCACTTGTGAAAGGGACCTCGGGGTACTGGTTGACTGCAGGCTAAACATGAGTCAGCAGTGTGATGCGGTGGTCAAGAGGGCGAACGCCATCCTTGGTTGCATAGCCAGAAGTGTGGCTTCTAGATCGAGAGAGATGTTAATGCCACTCTATACAACTCTGGTGCAGCCATAACTGGAGTATTGTGCTCAGTTTTGGGCCCCTCATTACAGAAAGGATATAGCCAGGTTAGAGTCAGTGCAGTGTAGGGCCACAAGGTTGGTGGCCGGTTTGCCAGGGATGGGTTATTTTATTTATTTTATTTATTAAGACATTTTTATGCTGCCCCATTCGCCGAAGCCTCAGGGCGGCTTACAACATATGCCGCGAAGTTATGAGGCGAGACTGAGGGAACTGGATCTCTTCAGCCTGAAGGTGACTCAGAGGCGATATGTTGGCGACATACAGGTATGTGAGGGGATGTCACATGGAGATGGTTAGAGACCAGTTCTCCCCTGCAGAGGAAGGCAGGACGCGCTCCAACAGAGCAAAGCTCAGAGAACCAAGGTTCCATTTAGATGTCAGGAAGCACTTCCTGACAGTTAGGACCCTGAGGGTGTGGAATGGGCTTCCACGAGAGGTCATTGGGGCCCCATCAGTGAGGGTGTTCAAAGATAGCCTGGACATGCACATGGTGGGCATGTCATAAGCAGAGCCAGCTGGAGCTTGGGGTCAGACTAGTTGGCCCTGGAGACCCCTTCTGACTTGCTCTGTTTCTATATTTCTACATTGACATGTGCATTCGGCATCTTATGTGGCCCTACACATAAGTGTGGATAGGGAAGTAAATTCCAACTATACTCCAACATTTATCCAAGCCACTTTTTTGGGATACATACAAGTATTATTGCACATAATTGTATCTTGTTTGGGACTACTTCCAAACTTATTATATTCTACAGATCTTAATACAGGGAAGATTCACAGAAGACAAAGATGGGCAGCTCAAGCCTATATAGAATTCAGCTCATCTGTATCTCAAAAATCAAGAGTGTGAGTACTTAAGCTTCTGTGCAGTGGAAATTTCTGAACAATATTTGTTGTGTGCTATAGGCAGATGTGGCAGTGTTGAGAAACAGATTTAGATGTTCATTACCTTCTCAAGAGCATCATATGCCTGTGTGGCTTGTACTTCTTCATCAGTTCCAGGCTGAGTTTTCTTCAATATGTTCTGCAGAATGAAAGTGTATACGGATTTCTAAGAGGTGAAATGCTTGGATCTGTTCTGATTGTTGCTATCTTGCATTGCAGGTGGATTAAAGTTGTTTTAACAAACAATTACTTCCCCAGCATCTATGTCTCTGCTGGATTCCCAGAGGACAATTTCATGGAACACTCAGCTTCCATTCTCTAGAGAGGCTTGACAGAAAGTTGTGTTAGCAGAGATACTACTTTCTCAACACTTCTTTTGCCCTCTGGTTAGCAACTAGAAGATGGGAGCAAGGGAAGACGGCACCTGGCAGGGAAGCAGATTTGCCAGGGGTACAGCCTCTAATTGTTATTGAAAAGCTTAGGTGAACACAAGGAAAATTCATTTAATGAGGGAAATTTCAATGCTGCTTCTGAAAGTCTCCAAAGTACAAAATTATGAGTGCATAGATGTGGAATTAGCCCATGCTCCTGTGGAGAGATTAGAGCTCTGTATGTGACTGGGTCTGCATATGGGCAGTCTGGGGTTCAGCCTCTAATCTCTCTACCTATTTCAAATTAAAGGGCTGGAAACCATTAATTAGTTTTAAAAGGCAAATTACATGCTTAGTTATATCAGATGTCAATGACATACATGTAGATCTCCCTGGAATAAACAAGTGGAGACCTAGTTCTTTCCCTATTTTTATCTTTATTACATTTATTGTCAGGGAAAAGGGTAATGCAACAACGCCTGTGCTATAGCTGTCTCACATGAGATCAGGGAGGGTAGTTGCCTAGGGAACTGTGAGCTTGGTGCCTCCAGCACCTGTACCTGGAGAAGGAGTTTAAGACGTGTGATGCGCTGGAATGGAAGGATGAGGAAGGATTTAAGGGAAAGCCGCTGACAAACAGGATCACTTTCCAGTCTCTCCAAGACCTGTTGGAAGGCAGGAACACCGTTCCTAACAGAGAAGAAATGACACGTCTAATTACATGCAGATAGTTTTAGCATTCCACCTCTTCAACCAGCAGCATGGATGCCAAGGGCAGCATGGAGTTTGGACAAGAACTGGAGTTGCAAGACCCAGGTTATCATGGCACAAGTGAAGCCTGCATTCCTACCAGGTCTGCCACTACTGTACTGCTACCTGCCCCTTGCTCAAAGGCAGAAACACCAGACAAGTATGTGTGTGGCTGCAAATTTAGTTTTACTACATTTATATCACACCTTTATTTTCTTGCAAGGAATCTAAGGCAGCTTACATGGTGGTCTTTTTCTCTCCATTTTACCCCCAACAAGCCCATGAGTTTCACCTCCATCTTAACTGCTGCGAGGTATGTTAGACTGAACGTCAGTGAGTGACTCAAAGTCATTCAGTTAGCTCCAAGACAAAGGGCATGGATGCATTTCAGTGACACATTTACAGAATGGCTACCAACTCTGCAGTATAGAAATGGTTTTTCAGCAAAACGTTAAGTGGTAACCTCATCCAGTAAGAGCAGCCCTCCTCCTCATTCAGGATCATTTCCTTTGTTGTTGTTAGTTGCGAAGTCATGTCTGACCCATCGTGACCCCATGGACAACATTCCTCCAGGCCTTCCTGTCCTCCACCATCTCCCAGAGTCCACTTAAGCTCACACCAACTGCTTCAGTGACTCCATCTAGCCACCTCATTCTCTGCCATCCCCTTCTTCTTTTGCCATCTATTGTTCCCAGCATTAGACTCTTCTCCAGGGACTCCTTCCTTCTCATTAGGTGGCCAAAGTATTTGAAT